AAAAAAAAAAAAAAAAAAAAAAAAAAAAAAAAAAAAAAAGTATTATGTACACATACCAACTCCCCTTGATGAGTGTAATGATTATGTACCGTGAACATATAACTAATAAAAATAAAAATTGGGGGCTGGGGATTTAGCTCAGTGGTTCCGCCACCTGCCTCACAAGCACAGGGAATGGAGTTCAATCCCCAGTACCAACAAATAAATAAATAAATAAATAAAAATAAAATAAAGAATTTTTAAACCTCGAATGACATGTACTATTTTATTAATAGCTACATTAGGGTAGCCAACAGTTTTTTTTATATTCAATGCTTCCACTGGCACATATTCAGGTAGTTTACATAAAGCACAAGGCTTTCCTGAGGTTCATTTACCCAAGTGTTATCAGACCTAGAAGGAATTTAACAATGGCAAACATTTCTGTAAGTACTTAGCAGGGTCAAGCCCTCTGCCAGGTGCTTTAGGGGTATTAACTTGTTTACTCCTAACCACTATCCTATGGGATAGCAACTGTGATTAGCCTCACTTTCCAGATGCAGAAACTGGACATAGAGTTTAATCTGCCCAAGGACACAACCAGAAAGCAGCTTCAGGGTCAGTGTAGACTAGTTAACAGCACCCCCTGCTCCCTCAACTGCCTTGAAAATTTTGCTTCTATAAATCCTCCTCTATCCGACTCAGCATTTTTGTGAACTTCTGGCAGAGGCATTTCAATACATGCCCGTGTGCCATCAACTACTACCAAGTCCAGTTGGTTTCTTTGTCATGACCTCCAAGTCTAACAACCCTCAATGGCTCCCCCAGTGGCTACACGTCACAAGAAAATTCTTCTTTGGTTTAACAGGCCTGACATTAACAGCACACTTCCACAGCTCCCTAAAGTGAGCTTCACACACAGCAAATCTCTAGCCAAATGTTTAACTTTGGGGCCCTCCATTCTAAGTCCTCCTCTCGGAGGGGCCCCCTTATCTCACGGCATTTATGAACCACTCATCTCCTCTCCTCTCCTCTCTCCTCAAATTTCTACACAACACCCCCAGGCATGAACCCAGTAGTGGAAATGAGGAGAGGCTGGAAAAACCTATTTATCTGCCTCCCAACCCCCCACCTCCTTCTGGCCAGAGAGAACACAGCTTTCAATGTCCTTCTCAGGATGTGCCTCCAGGGGCTCCAGCTCAGGCCGTGACACCAGGGCCGTCCCCAATTTCACTCGTGGCCCCACAGTCCAAAAGGCTATCCCAAGGGAATCTTTAATCAGTTTAGTCCAAAGTGACAGCCAATCATAAAAGGGTTGGTCCAAGATGGCAGCTGGTCCGATACAGAGCCTTTGTTCCTACGGGTTCCCTCGGGCACCAGCAAGAGGGTTCCATCCAGGCATTTTCTCTCCCACTTAACAGTTTCTTGCAAGCTGGGAATGAGCAGAAAATTCCTTCCCAGCCCCTTATCCACTAAGCTATTCCTATCCTGGATGGTAAAATCAGCTTGGCTTTCTTCCCCCTCTTGTAATTTTGATATACACTATGAGTCCTATTTTGCTATCCTGAAATTAAATTCCAAATAATTAAGTTTTCTGTGAATAATGTCACACAGCAGTACTTAGAATGGCCTGTCCCCCCAAGCAAGAAGAAACGGTGTAGCCAACAGCGACCTCTCACAATAAGATATTTAGCCAAGAAGGCAAAGTCGGTGCTGCATATTCCCCTTAAGTCACTTACAACTGGTAAAAGAGTTAAAGCCAACTGACATTTGGTTATTTTGATAAATGAAGCCTGGAGACCCAATACTTACCAAGAAGGACAAACTCTACCCTGCTCTCCTCCAAGAAACATTGCTAAACAACGTTTTAATATGTGCAAGCTGAACTAATGGCATTTCCATAGTCACATTTTGAGAAAGGGAGCTTTCTAAAAGACCTGTCCACAGAGAGGGAAGGAAGGGAGGGAAGGGAGGAGAATGGAGCAGAGAGGAGGGAAGAAAGAATAAAGAAGGGAAAAAGAAAAGTCATGGGTAGACACTTGTTTTAAAAAATGTTTATTTTGCATTTTGTAAATTATGATAAAAGAATAACATTTCTGTTTACTCTTCCTTACTCCCAAACCTCAGGATTTTAAATTGGTATGGGATGGGTGATGGGGGTGTAAAAAGACTTGGGATTTTGGGATCTGATCAATGTAACATGTTGGGGGCAAAGCACGGAGGTCAAAAGGAAATGATTAATCCCACAAAAGAACCAGGCGGATGAGGGAGAGAATGGTCCTCCTACATAACCCTCATTAATGAGTAGGTCAAAACATAATTGTTTACCAAGGTTTTCTTCCCAAACCTGATTCACTATCTCATCCTAAAATATATTTTCTAAAATCCAAAGAATTAGTCTGCACTAGCTACTTTTTCTTAGAGGTTATTACATTCCAGTTGTTGGAAAACAGACTCCAGAATTAAGCAGGAGAATGACCTTAGTCATCAAATGACCAAGACATTTGATGACAATTTCCATTTCTGGCAGGAACCATGCTAGTTATTAATGAAGGAAGTAATAACTGGGGCCTTTTTAAAAGAAGTTACCAGTCACAAGATACAATATGCCTTTGAAATGCTATGACGTCAATACTTTAAATATATAAATGGGTCAAACCCTAGAAGAGGGGTGAGGGAAATGCCTTACAAAAATCATTTGGGAAACAATTTTGCTCTTTAGTTTTTTTCCCCTCCCTAATGCTTGCTATTAGAGGCACACAAAAATCCTAACGAATGCTGCAAATTTCCCCTCAAATTACATATCCTATACAAAACCTCAGAACTGCCTCCACACCCTTCTGACTAAAAATGAATGGTAGTGGGCCGGGGATTTGGCTCAGTGGTTCTGCCACCTGCCTCCCAAGCACAAGGACATGAGTTCAATCCCCAGTACCTCCCCCCAAAAAATAATAATGCTAGCAACGAGGATGAAAGGCCTGTTTACCACTGGCCTTGGGGCCACAAGGGCTGATACTAAATTCAGAAAGCATCCCAATGTAGGGAGGTAGGTTAAGATGGGTATGGCAGCACATGCCTGTAACAGCACTGGGAGGCTGAGGCTGGAAGATCGCTGAGGGTTCAAGACCAGCCTGGGCTACTACCCTCAAAGCCTGTACAGGTGAACCCACTAGGAAAGGCTGGCGCAAAAGAGGAAAATTTGTTCCTAAAGAACTGTCAGAAGGATCATCAGATTTTTCCAATTTTCTTGAAATTTCTTGAAGGAAAAAACTCATCAGCTGCTGAAACATTAGTTTGTTTTTCTAGGTCTTCAAAGCCAGCCTGAACTACAGAGTGAGACTCTGTTTCAAGACGTTAGCCAGGGATTTGGCTCAGTGGTTCTGTTGCCTGCCTTGCAAGAACTAAGGGCCTGAGTTCAATCCCCAGTGCCAAAAAAAAAAAAAAAAAAAAAAAAAAAAAAAGACTTTAAAGGGCCGGGGATCTATGTAGCTCAGTTCTAACGTCAGTACCAGAGAAAAAAAGAAAAAAAAAGTAGTGAGGATCCATTCTATTTTAAAGTATGTACATATGACTACCTATTTTTTGTTGTTTTTGGTACCTGGGATTGAACTAGACCTTGCACTTGCCAGGCAGGTGCTGTGTCACTAAGCTAAATCCCTGACCTCACTATCTACCTACCTGGTTTTAAAAGGAACCAAAGATGTACCCCAAAAACTCTGGACCATAAGTTTTGAGAGCTAGGTAGAAACCAACTTCAATCTGTGTGCACAATTTAGAACAATCCCACAGACAATTTCTCAATTCCTGTGCACAACTGTGAATGTACCCTCCCTTCTAGAAAGTGCACAAGCACCAGAATCTCCTGGCAAGTCACTGACTACGTAGTCACAGCTAGTTAGGAGCCTGAAGCAAGAAATCTCTTCAACACAGGAGTTGAGGGCCAGCCTAGACAAACCATGAAAATTATGTCTTTTTAATATCCCACCCCGACTCAAACTTTCACAGCAAAACTGGGAGTGGTGGGCATGGTGGCGCACACCTATAATCCCAACACTCGGAGGCTAGGCAGGAGGATCACTGGAGTTTGACGCCATCTTAGGCCAAGTACCGAGCTCTAGACCAGCCTGAGGTGAGTGGCTCACTTGACCCCAGGAGTTCAGAGTCCTTTCTACAACAGCATAGAAGACTCTGTGTCAGAAAAGTAACCCAGGCTGGGCGTGGTGGCGCACGCCTGTAATCCCAGCACTCAGGAGGCTGACACAGGAGGATCACTGTGAGTTCGACCAGCCTGGGCTACACAGTGAGTTCCAGGTCAGTCTCAACTACATAGTGAGACCCTGTCTCAAAAACAAAACAAAACAAAACAAAAGTAATCCACAGCCATACAGTTATTTCAGTACTACTAGACAAAAAAGTATAGGGGAAGGATGGTGCTCAGTGACCTGGATAAAAGAGCCACAAATTTATTTAGGAATAAGGATTTTTCTGGGGATTTAGCTCAGTGGTGCTGCCTGCCTTTGCAAGCACAAGGTCCTATATTCAATACCCAGTACACACACACACACACACACAAAAAAAAAAAAAAAAAAAAAAAAAAAAAAAAAAAAAAAAAAGATTTAAGGATTTCTTGAAACTCCAGGCCTTATTCAGGATCATGCCTCCCTCTAACCTATGCTTAAACATCAGTTCTAGTTGGTCATGCACGTGCTGAGTCAATGGTAGAGTGGGTCAATCCATTATAACACAAAATAAAAATAAGCTGTAGTGAAATTGTGATGCCAGGCCTTATAATGTAAGGCATGTAAAAGTCCCAATCAATAGAATTCACCATGAGTCAAGGAAGACTTCACAGCTCAGCGCTTACCAGACCGAAGCAAGTTTGAGTCCAGCCTAAGCCTAAGCAACTTAGCAAGAGCTCCTGTTTCAAAATGAAAAAGGACTGAGGGGTATAGCTCAGTACAAAGGTCCTCAGTTCAAATGCTCAGTGCTGGGGGAGGTGTGGCACCACACTTTGCTTTGGACCCACAGGATCTGGTTCCTTCAGACTTTGTTCATCCAAAAGAGATCCACACAACTTTACATGTGTAAACTGTACCCAGCCTACCATCCCCCAGCTGGCCCCCAAGAGCTCAAAGCCAGAAGTCTATTTTCCCATTTCTTAAAAATAGGTTGAGTATGTACAAAGCATTTAAATAGTCTGTTGTTTTTCTTTTGCAGGGTGGTATCTCACTAAATTGCCTGGGCTGGCCCTGAACTAAATTTGCTCACCTGACCCCCACCCCCCACCCCAACCCCCAAGTAGCTAGTATTACAAGCACTAGCTGTCACACTAAATAGCACCCTCACTACTCTTCAACTCTAGACTGGGGCCCAACTATCAGGGATGTGGTTGTCTCTGCTGCTCTGGGGCAGGAACCTGCTGTGAGGATAATCAGTAAGATCCCACCACACACTCGTTTAACTGGGTCCACCTCACTCCCGCTCCTCAGCCTCGCCACTGCCCCAGGTCTCATCCAGCCAGCTAGAAACAGAAGGCAGAAAGGAAGAGGTGGCTGCATTTAAAAACTGCCTTGGGGCAAAGGGGCAAAGGGAACTCTTGCACAAAGCTAGGTGTGTTTTTTTAAACTTCACCATCCCCAAAGAAATGGGAAAAGATTTATTTATACAAAATGCTGAAGAGGCATGCAAAGAATCAGCAAAAATTGTTTCCTTTCTTATTTGGAAGAACCCTTCCCAACAGCCTCATGCCCTGATGACTCATCTTATGCCCTGGGACAGAAGATAAATCAGCTGACTCTGGGAGACAAGAGCATATGGACCAGACCTTGCAGAACTCCCTTGGCAGGATTCCTGGACTTGCAGAGAGAAAAGCACCCCACCCCGGAGTGCACAGCTGTCAAGACACTCTGTTTCACCTAATTGTGTGTACAGTGTATTCTATGTAGCCCTGTGCCTTTCACTATCCTAATTTCACAAGAAATCCAAGGCAAAGAGATTAACTCACAGAAGGCCACATAGTCAGTAAGCAGCTCTTTGCTACTCTTGCAATAAAATGTTCCCAAATACATTATTTGTAAATAGTGCTTTATTACAACTTTTCAAAGGGAAGGGAAAAAAGGAGATCCATACTGCCTGAGCTGAGCCAAACTCAGATGGGGGAAGGCCCCAGGAAATCAATCTCAACTGTTGCCACATTCATCTGTCCAATGAGGAACTGTATTTAACTGAGCAGAGTTGCTCAGCCCACAACAGATATGTACAGATCACAATAGATGTTTATGAGCCAAAGGTGTAGCAGTAATAAGGCTGGCGGGGGGCTAGGTGCTTCTCTGTATCATCATATTTAAAACGTACAACCTGAAATTAGTAAAGTCATTATTATTATAGAAAGCAGCATAGAAATCTTTCAGGGCCAGAGATTTAGCTCAGTGGTTCGGTGGCCTGCCTTGCAAGCGCAAACACCTGAGTTCAATCCCCAGTACCAAAAAAAAAAAGGTCTGGGGATGTAGTTTAGTATAATGGTCCTAGATTCGATTCTCCATACCACAAAAAATGTTCTACCAAGCTAGGGAAAGCCAGGGGTGGTGGCAGCACTCAGGAGGCTGAGGCAAGAGGCTCGCTGTGAGTTCGAGACCAGCCTGAGTTACATAGTCAGTTCCAGGGCAGTCTCAACTACATAGTGAGACCCTGTCTCAAAAAAAAAAAATTCTAGGGCTGGGAATTTATCTCAGCGGTTGGGTGGCCTGCCTTGCAAGCTCAAAGACCTGAGTTCAATCCCCGGTACCCGCCCCCCACCAAAAAAATTATACCTACAAAAACACTACATAGTGATGAGTATATTAATAAGTGATATAAACATTTAAAAATATACATTAAAAGAAATATATGTGAAAACATACCTACAATTAGTTATTATCAACTGATATAAAAATTTTAATCCAGGTATGTATGTATGGTGGCCCACATCTGTAATCCCAACTACTCCAGAGGCTGACAGGATATTGCAGATTCATTCATGCCTAGCCTAGGCAACTTGGGAAGATCCTGTTTCAAAGTAAAACTAGATGTAGCTCAGTGGTGCCAACACCTGCCTGGAAGCACAAGGTCCCAAGTTTGATCCCCAGTACCAAAAAAAGAAAAAAAAGTAAAATTAGAAAGGCCGGAGATGTAGCTCAGCCTACATCAAACACTCAGTAGAGTGTTTGCCTACATGCATGGAGTCCTGTGTTCAGTACTTAGGCAGAAAATTTAATAGGGGCTTACCAATTTGATTTCCCGCTCAGAAATCTAAGTAAATGTATGAATGCACAGCCTAATGTGCTAATATTAATATCTGTCTCCTTTTTTGGCACTGGGGCTTGAACTCAGGACCTTTTGCTTTCAAGGCAGGCAGCAGAACCACTGAGCTAAATCTCTGGCCCTCCCTTTTAAATTTTGTAGAAACTGAAGTTTTGCTCACTGCATACAGCTGGCATGCAATTTAACCCAGAAACCTAATGAATAAGATCCCAAAGCCTTTTATTCTCTCTCAGGGCTGGACAGAGTAGTATTATAAATACACAACACAACCAGTACATAATCCCATACAATACTCGGTTACCTAGTGCCCAGTGCATTTAAAAAAAAAAAAAAAAATGGCTTGTACCTGTAGGTAACCCTAAAGTAAGAACTCTGTAAATGTTATAGTGTGGAAGAAAAGGAAAGAAAGGAAGACAGGGCATCCTGCAAGTGAACAGATAAATTTGCTTCCATCCTCTCTGCCCAGGCTCCTGGGGATTTCTACACCTTTGCATGGTGTTTGTGGGTCTGGTCCTGTATCAGGAGCAGGGTCTGAAGTCACTTCTCCTGCACTCTGTCCCAAGTAATCCTGGGTGTCAATGGCAGCGCAGGCTTGGTCTGTGAATCACAGTCAACATTTATTTCAGCTTTGACTTTAACAACATCACTTGCTTTAATACAATGTTAATAAAAGACCACTTCGGGAGGTCTGGTCTGGGCTACTTCTGGAGTACCACAACCTGGTCCCCAACAATACCACAGCAGAAGGAAGAGCAACCTTTCTCTCGGGAAGCTGCTTGGCTGTCCTCAGACCCTTCTGGCGCCTTCCTGGGGCAGCTGGGGTTCTATGCCATGCAGGCAGGTACTGAGGACGTGAGATGGCTCCTATTCAAAGAGGTGATGCCAAATGGAAGTGAAACCAGAAGCAGAGACCTGGCAAAGCCCCCAGGTGCACACCCTCCTCACCCTCAGCAGCTAGGTGACAGACCCCACAGTGATCCCAGAGCAGCTAACCCAGCTCCCACGCCCGTTTTTGTGAGGACAGGCAGACTCCTGCATGAAAAGGCTTTAGGGAGTTTCACTCAAACTCAGGCCAAAATCTTACCATCTTTACCTGCCTATAAGTAAACTCAACTTTTATGTCAAAGTAGTTAAAACTGGGCAACTTTGGAAGTATAAGGTGACTTCTTAGAACTGTAACATCCCCATTAATGCTCTCCTCAAAGGTGACATGGCAGACAGACTATAGCCGGATTTTGGGATTTTAGAAATGTTACACCTTAGGGAAAGAACAAATAACAACTTAAACTTTTATTAGCAAGGGTCACTTAAACAGAGCATGTGATAGTAAACAACTCACAACTTGAATAAAATCACTTAAAATTAAACTGAGAATTTATGACAGTCAACTGGGAAAGCTAAATCAGGGCTGTGACCTGAAGTCCCTTCACCTGGAGCAACATTTAAATGCTTTCTCCCAGGGCCACCAGCATTAGAATCCCTGGAGGTGCTTGTAAGGATGCAAATGAGCCCCACCCCAGTTTTAGAGAATCTCAAACTCCATGGGATACACAGCCTCAGGGTTAAGCAACTGCCAGGTTATTAGTTAAACAAAGGAAGATGGATTTAAAGGATTACACAAAATAAGTAGGAGTGTAATGAGAAGGCCTGAATAAGCATGCAGACAGTAGGCTAATATTTTGACATTTGCTTTTTTTGTTCCTTTATTTCACACTGGGACATCTTCAGTCTTAGCTAGGAAAAGTGCATTATCTGGAGTTGCACATCAATCCAGCAGGACTTACAGAGTTCCTTCACAGGGTGGACAGGCAAATAACATTTTATATTACTATGCTGGCTTGCCTTTTTTTTTTTTTAAGTAAGGGTCTCACAAAGTTCCCACATTGCCCAGGCTAGTTAGAAGGTGGCTCGGGGAGTTTCCCTCAACTGATGTCCCTTGGGACAATGGCTCCTCCAGCAAGTTACTTATCCTCTGCTGGGCTGAAACAGAAAACCTAACCAGTAACAAGATAAAGCACACAGTGGGGCATTAAGCCTGCTTCCTGGGAAGATTAAAGACAATTAAAACTAGAGGCAAGGGATTAGTTGGCAGGGAAAAGGGGGGACACCTGCTAGGAGGAGAGGTGATGGTCTGCTCTTGAGATTTCCTTCCCAGAGCTCCTTTGGCAGTGACTGAGATTGTGTGTATGTGCAGGGCACAGCCTGGCTATCCAAGCCTTTTTAGTATGAGACACTGAACTCAGGACCTTGTGCTTGCAAGGCAGGTGTGGCAGGTGCCACTGAGCTAAATTAAATCTCCGGCCCTCATCTGTGACTTTTTGACAGGTCCTACTGTCCTTTTACTTGAAGGTCCTTCAATAAACCTGTTCCATGTACTGCCCCCAACACTTCACAGATTAAGATGATACTGGATTTACTGCTAGGTAGTAAGATTTTCGTGATTTTTTTTTTTTTTTTTTGTACCAGGGATTGAACTCAGGTCCTTGCTCTTGCAAGGCAGGCCACTGAACCACTGAGCTAAATCCCCGGCCCCAAGACTCTCGTGATTTCAAAGAAAGAAAATGGAAGCTTCAGGGTTATAAAGAAACACTCAACACTCAGTTATGGTTTCCAGAACGGTCTTTCACCTGTGTGCTACTGTACAAGACAGATATGATGCACAGAAAGCCTCAGGAAGCAGAGGCTTCCTTCCTTGAAGGGTAACGCCCTGCTCCTCCTGAAACCTCCAACTAACAAAGACAGGACCTGACATACTCAAGTCAAACCTGGCTCCAGCACCCAGGCAGCCCCTTCCTGGTTACAATGTTCCAAGCTAACACCACCCTGATAATCCTATAAAGCTCTCCTCCCCGGTCACCTCCCAATTACAGAAGACCAAGGGTATCACTATCGAAACTTAGCTATTAAGCACCTAACTGCTCAGATAGAGTCCAAGCAAAGATTCACAGGGCCTGGCCCTGCACTGGGACAGGGTCATTTATGACCATTAAGGCCAGAGTAAGGCAGGCTCCCACAGGCCCATAAAACTCCCAGGGAAGGAAGTAGGGATTAACTACTTCCTCCCACCTCTCAAGAAGGGGTTTCAAGTTGTATGGAATTGCAAAATACAGGGTTCCCAGGAGGGGGTGGGGAAACATGGATCAGAAGGGCCTACACCTGGCTGAGGCCTTTAGCAGGGAACACAACTAACCCTGGGGTTTCTCAAATTGCTTTCATTTGTACAGATGAGGGCTTTGTAGCGCTCCTGGCCCCAACATCTCTAGTGAGGCATATTCTTGGAGTCTCCTCACCCACCCGTAGCACGGATCTGGACTCTGTCCAGGAAGGGAGCAGAGTATGTCTGAGGATTACGTGTTGTTTGCCAAGTTCTGCGATGGTAAATGGCTTAATTCTTCTACATTCCCATCAGTGCGATTTGCTGGATCAAAAACTGTCCCTTCTCCTGAGCAATGTACAACCTCTTTCAAAATTTCACTAAATTCCAACTGAAACTTACTGTATTTCACAAATCTAAGAAAAGTTTATAAAGAGAAACAGTTACATACAGTAGAAGCAAGCGCAAGGCAAGAAAATGGAAAGAAACATCAAGATGAGACTTCGTGGATGAGACCATGAGTTTGGTTCTGAGCTTCCTGGTAGTCAAAGCAAAATGAGCAACAATAACATACTAGTATGTCTACATCAAGCCATCACTTTTCAAGGCCAAC